CAGTCTTAAAGGGCTACGCCTATACTCATAGAATCTGGGGTTACAGTATGTAACCAACGATTTTGATATGATTCAGTTGAAGATGGTTGCCACAGCCAACAAAAATTTCTCAACACAAAGGCTCTAACTCCATCGTTTTTACATATTTAAAAGTAAAGTTTGATGTGATAGTGCTGACAGTCATCCTTAACATACAGGTGCTTGTCATAAAATTAGAATATCATGAAAAGTTTATTTATTTCAGTAATTCCATTCAAAAAGTGAAACTTTTATATTATATTCATTCATTACACACAGGCTGATAATTTCAAATGTTTATTTCTTTTAATGTTGATGATTATAACTGACAACTAATAAAAATTTAAAAAATTCAGTATCTCAGAAAATTAGAATATTGTGAAAAGTTTCAATATTGAAGACACCTGGTGCCACACTCTAATAAGCTAATTAACTCAAAACACCTGCAAAGGCCTTTAAATGGTCTCTCAGTCTAGTTCTGTAGGCTGCACAATCATGGGGAAGACTGCTGACTTGACAGTTGTCCAAAAGACAACCATTGACATCTTGCACAAGGAGGGCAAGCCACAAAAGGTCATCACTAAAGAGGCTGGCTGTTCACAGAGCTCTGTGTCCAAGCACATTAATAGAGAGGCAAAGGGAAGGAAAAGATGTGGTAGATAAAAGTGTACAAGCAACAGGGATAACTGCACCCTGGAGAGGATGGTGAAACAAAACCCATTCCAAAATGTGGGGGAGATTCACAAAAAGTGGACTGCAGCTTGAGTCAGTGCTTCAAGAACCACCACGCACAGACATATGCAAGACATGGGTTTTAGCTGTCACATTCATTGTGTCAAGCCACTCTTGAACAAAAGACAGTGTCAGAAGTGTCTCACCTGGGCTAAAGACAAAAAGGACTGGACTGCTGCTGAGTGATTCAAAGTTATGTTCTCTGATTAAAGTAAATTTTGCATTTCCTTTGGAAATCAAGGTCCCAGAGTCTGGAGAAAGATAGGAGAGGCACAGAATCTACATTGCTTGAGGTCCAGTGTCAAGTTTCCATAGTCAGTGATGGCTTGGGGTGCCATGTCATCTGCTGGTGTTGGTCCACTGTGTTTTTTGATGTCCAAGGTCAATGCAGCCATCTACCAGGAAGTTTAAGAGCACTTCATGCTTCCTGTTGTTGACCAACTTTAGGGAGATGCAGATTTCATTTTCCAACAGGACTTTGCACCTGCACACAGTGCCAAAGCTACCAGTACCTAGTTTAAAGACCATGGTATCCCTGTTCTTAATTGGCCAGCAAACTCGCCTGACCTTAACCCCATAGAAATCTATGGGGTATTGGGAAGAGGATTTTTATTATTATTAGACCTTTATTTATACAGGTTTGTTCCCATTGAGCCTCAAAGACATTTACAAGAGATATATGTTACATACAACATACAGGCAGATAAGAAAAAGAGAACACAAGGATGGAGGAGGCCAGAAAAATCATGTCTCACACCATTTCCTGGCTGGGAAACAGTATAAAAGATGCAAAGAAAGACCTCGTATCACAAAGCTTCAACGTACAATGACATCATAATACATTTATGCATAAAGGTTGACAAAGCCGGTGAGTTGTCCATAAACACTCCAGAAAGTTCCAAAGTTCTGATAAGATGGTATAGTGTCTATCAGCATCATGGTTCTAATAAGGCCACAAATGTCATCGGGAGGCAGGCAGAGCTTCTAGTTTACATATCCTCCAGGAGCAATTTGAAATAAGTTGGCCTGTCCAAGGCCAGCGGGGAGGCCAAATTCAGATAAGCAACAATTGTTTGGGCTGCCAGACTCTGTTTTCTGTCTGCCTTCAAGTTCTGCTGGTACACTCAATGTCAAACCCAAACAGCCCGTTTTATGGACATTTTTCCTGGTCCATGCTTGATTTAGCATTCTCCAAGATTGAATCCTTTATGCTGGCGAGTTCCAAGAGCCACAAGTGGCTTACAATTCTCAGAGTCGTGTCCAGCTTGCGGTTGAGCTTGGTAAGCATATGAGTTTGAGAGCTCGAGGCATGGATTAATCCTTCACATAAGGCTAGCAGCTTTACCATTGCCGAAACTGCTGCCGACGTCTTCCTAATTTGTCAATATCCAAGGTATCTGCCGATTCCAAAAAACAGAAACCCTGTTATCATAAATCCAATAATGTACACATCTTCTACATCCTCCACAGACAGCACAGATAGGCACACCAACTTCCATTCAGTCCAGGAATCAATGACATACCCAGCTGTGTGGGTCCGTTCAGACCAGCACCCTGTCGTCTGGTGAAAAAAAAAATTATCAGTTGCCTTAAGGTACCAGCTGACCATAGTCACAATAATTTTCAATTCAGAAGATGTGTAAAGAGAGGCTCTGGGCTTGACAGCACAAGAGAGCAAAAAAAGCAGGAGGGAGGGACGGAGGGTAAGAGCGACAGTCTTTGTCAAAGGCGAAAGAGAGAAGGAAGATGTGATACACCAGATCCAGCAATTCAGAAGAACTGAAGGCCACTATCAGAGCAACATGGGCTCTCATAACACCTGAGCAGTGCCACAGACTGATCGACTCCATGCCACGCAACATTACTGCAGTAATGCAGGCAAAAGGAGCCCAAACTAAGTATTGAGTGCTGTACATGCTCATACTTTTCAGTTGGCCAACATTTCTAAAAATCCTTTTTTTCATGGTCTTAAGTAATATTCTAATTTTCTGATATACTGAATTTGGGGTTTTCATTAGTTGTCTGTTATAATCATCAACATTAAAAGAAATAAACATTTGAAATATATCAGTCTGTGTGTAATGAATGAATATAATATACAAGTTTCACTTTTTGAATGGAATTAGTGAAATAAATAAACTTTTTCATGATATTCTAATTTTATGACCAGCACCAGCATACCTGTACTCTAATACCATTAGATTGCATGTTGAAGTATTTTTATAGGTGTCATTTTTGCCAAGTTTGGCTTAAATCTTATAGTAGAATTTGAATTCCAGAGGCCGAAGACTCACAGACTCGGTAAGTGTGTTTACTGGTGGTGTCAACGGGGGGAAATGGGGCAGGAGGATCTGTAGGGTAAGAGGAAAAGTGAGAATCTGATTCTTGAAATAGTCTGAACGAGTGGTTAGACAGAAGGTAATGACTCTTTCTGTTTGTGGTTTCTTCACAGGTTTGGATAATTCCTGTTCCAGGATGCAGCATGAGATTCCAGAGGTTAAGTGTTTTTAATGAATGAGAGAGACAGGTGAGACCAGAGATGAATGCAGAGACCAGAAATGTCAAAAGCTTATTGCAGGTTGTGAGGAGTGGAGGTGTTCAGGGAGGATGCAGGAAACCAACACTGGTGGTGGCACTGGTGACTCGAGGCGTCAGAGATGTTTATGAAAAGGTACTGCAAAAACACGAAGGAGTTGATAGTTAAATGTTGAGGTCGCAAATATATTCAGTGGCTTGAGACTGAAAATCACCAAGGCCCAGACAGAGAGATGTGTCAGGTCCTCTGCTTCAGTCCAGTCCAGGCTCATCAGGTCCTCAGCTTCAGCTGGTAGATGAGCACCCCTGTGTCTCATGAGCAGGAACTGAAATCTTCACGATAGGTTTGACCAAAACAGCTGCAACTCTATCACGTGTCAACAAAAGAAAACCTCAGTCTAAAACTGTAGCATGAAAGGTGGCGGGCGATAAGCATTCCATCCAGGAATCCCAAGCCTTTAATCTCAAACTGTTTTGACACTCACTATGACCCAAATCTGCTTTTTCTTTTATGCAAACACACACACAGAGAAGGGAAACAAAAGATCAAAATTCTGGAAGCATGGCTTGACCCTCTTCAAGTGGAGTATGGATTTCGAGGGAGATAACAACATTGCGCTGGAAGCTGGGGAGACGAGTGGAAGGGCTGCCTCTGAAATGTTAAGTAGCACAGAAACACTTAAACACAGACTCCTCTTCCTCAGCTGCCCTCTACTGAACACACACACACAAACACACATGCACACACAATGTGTGGCCTCCTGCAGCAGTTTGTCAGTCTTTGTTTACTCTCCGTCAGCCATGAACTGCTCACTGATGACTGGGCGCACAGAGCCGCTCCCCCCACCTTTATGTTTGAGGGTGGGCAGGATCGGGCTGGGGGCGTTTGGGGCAGAAGAAGGGGTCCCACCATGGACTCCCTCTTCTCCCCAAAATTAGATATGCGTAAAATGGTGGGGGTTGACAGCGTGGAAGCACAGGTAGTGTTCAGCAGCAGGCGGATGCTGCATTGCGCTCCTCCTGAGCAGGTCGGTCCGCCGAGGGACAACATCCACTCAGCAACGTGTAGGAGGAAGATACTGCTGCTGACAAAGAAACAACACTGAATACAAATGATTCTTTTCATGCTGTCTTTCTTTTAGCCAAAGAGGCAGTGTGGATAAGCAACCTGAATTATACAACAAGTCATTTTTTAAAAGCAGTTTCTCACACTTTTCATGACTGTTGGGTGATGTCATGCTTCCATTAAACTAAGGCCATAAATATAACAAAAAAAATGACTTCTTTCAGAGGAGAAGCAAAGCTTTTTAGTTGTTTTTTTTGTTTGTTTTGTTTTGTTTTTTGCCCTGGTCTAAAAAAGCAGCTGCAGCAGCAGAAATGGGACCGAGCCGGACCGGATCACTCTTTTCTTCCTCTTCCGTTTTGTCCTCCATGAATATGGGAATAAAGATATTTTCCCACCAGGAGCTGTCAGCAGCCGGGACAGCGAGCCATTTAATCTTCCTATGACAGAGGAGAGCGGGTGAGGTTTGTCCCCCGACACACGCGCACACATAAACACGCGCGCGCACACAGAGCGACCCAACACCGCCTCTGCTGCCTCTCCTGTTACAGCTCAGCGATCGAATTACGTGTCCGGAGGAAAATGTTGCAGCAGAGAGGAGAGAGAGAGACTGCAGCATCGCTGGAGACCGGAGGCAGCAGCAGCAGTCCCGAGCAGTGCAGGTGAGAGGGGAGGGGAAAAAAGGAGGAGGAGGAAGGAGGAGGCGCGTTCGCTGCTGGAGTGAATGCGGGACTCCTAGAGCAAAAAGACGCATCTACTCTCAGTCCATGCTCCCATCCTCCTCCAGATCCGGACCGCGCGGGGATTTTTACTCCAAAACTGATCAAACCACGAGGACAGGCTCCACTTTTTCTCCTCCACGAGAGCAGATTTAAGGAGAAACTTGCTCCGAGAGCCACTCTCACAACTTGCGTAAAGGAATCTGGCTGCTTGGCACGTTGCTCCAATGCGGGGAAAGGAGGCAGCTGGGCGAGGAGGTAAGAGGAGTCAGAAACAGATGTTTACTCATAATTCTTGGATCTGATTTCAGATTTATTCATCTCTGTCTCTCCATTCGGAAAAACCTAAACATCTTCTCCTTTTCTCTGTCTCTCTCTCCGTGTGTGTGTCTCCTGTTTCTTTTGTGTAGTACTGGTGCATTGCAGTTTCTAAGTGGGGGGAAAAGAGAACAGCCACTGACTGTCCCACGTGTGACTGGAATGAAGAGAACTTACAAATGATGAACTGATCGGAAGAAAACAGCAGGAGTGGAGATGAATCAAAAGGCTGATGATGGAGGGATGTGTTATTAAAACAAAATGTGTTTTTATGACTTGGTTAGGCTAAAGCGGGATTCTTTCTTTAGAAGCTAATAAGTGTAGGAGGAGAATTTAAAACAGAGGACCTGCTGAAGTGAACAACAGAGAGCGCAGGAGCTTTCCCTCGGACCTGAGTCCACAGAGAGCCATCGAGAAGGTATCAGGCAGGATAAATCAAACACCCACTCTGCGTGCTCTGCACCAGGCCACTAAACACCAATAAACAAGAGGCACAACTGGGGGGCGTGGAGGGCAGCCAGAGACAGACCAGAGAGAGGGCAACAGAAGGGAGCCAGCCATGCCGAGGCTTCTTGGTGCAGTGCACTCCTCCAGCCTCCTGGTCCCCTTCATCCTCCTCCTCCCCCTGCTGCAGCTGCTGACTCAGCTACCAGGCGCAGACTCGGCTCTCCGGTACCGAGTGGCAGAGGAGGGACCCCCGGATGTGAAAATCGGCAATGTGGCCACGGACCTGGGCCTCACGGCAGGCACGGGCAGCGGGGACGTCACCTTCGCCCTGGAGAGTGGCTCAGAGTACTTCAAGATTGACAACGTGACGGGGGAGCTGACCACAGGCCCACGGCGCATCGACAGGGAGAAGCTGCCTCAGTGCCAGATGATCTTTGACGAGAACGAGTGCTTCCTGGACTTTGAAGTGTCAGTGATTGGACCCCTGCAGAGTTGGGTGGACCTGTTCGAGGGCCGCGTTGTCATCACAGACATCAATGACAACACGCCCTCCTTCCCCTCACCTGTCCTGCAGTTGTCAGTTGAGGAGAACCGTCCAATAGGAACTCTGTACCTGCTCCCCACTGCCACTGACAGGGACTTTGGAAGGAATGGCATTGACCGCTACGAGCTCATCCAGGAAAATAATGGAGTTGGGTCAAGTTCAACAAGACGCACAGCAGGAGGAAACCCCATTACCAGAGTGGATGGACTTGACCGGAGGGGCAGAAGTGGAGATAATGGAGGAGGAGCCAGCAGGAGCAGTGTGTTTGAGCTGCAAGTGGCAGATATACCAGATGGTGAGAAGCAGCCACAGCTTATTGTGAAAGGAACGCTGGACAGGGAGCAGAAAGACTCATATGAGCTGGTCCTCAGGGTTCGAGATGGGGGAAGCCCTCCACGCTCCTCCCAAGCTCTGCTTCGTGTGTCCATTACTGATGTGAATGACAACAGTCCACAGTTTGAAAGGTCAACGTATGAGGCTGAAATGACAGAGAATGCTCCTCCGGGTACCCCTGTCCTTCAGGTCAGAGCCTCAGATTGGGACATTGGAGTCAATGGGCAGGTGGAATATGTCTTTGGAGCTGCCACTGAGAATGTCAGGCGACTCCTGCGGCTCGATGAAGCAACTGGTTGGCTAAGTGTTCTTCACAGGATTGACAGGGAAGAAGTGGCCCAGCTGAAGTTCACAGTGATGGCTAGAGACCGGGGTCAGCCTCCCCGCACTGACCGCACCACAGTGGTTCTGGCTGTCCGGGACGAGAATGACAACGTCCCAGTCGTAGAGATCAGAAAGATTGGACGGATCCTGGTTCGAGATGGGGCAGCATTGGTGCCGGAAAATGTTCTGGTGGACACACCTGTGGCTCTGGTTCAGGTGTCGGACAGAGACCAGGGAGAGAACGGAGCAGTGACTTGCACAGTTGTAGGAGATGTTCCATTCACCCTGAAGCCAGCAGGGGAAACAGTACTCCCACCCCTACCAGCAGACGAAGCCTTCGACAGGTAAGCCTAACTAAAGGGTCACAGTAAGTATCACCACTGCTCAGTCACAAATCAAGGTTTCATGATTTTAGCCTCTTATCAAATACTAATTAATCAATTAATCTGAATCAAAAACTCCAAAATACATATATCTTTTGGGTTTGTATTAGATTACACATAAACATGTTTATACAATCAAATCTTTGTTTAAAGACTGTAGATTTTAATTCTCAAGAGCACATAAAACACTGTGTAATGTTAAGTATCTGCGAAGGAATGATGCATTTTAGTTTAAAATGATGGACTACTGTACCTGAGGGTGGATGAAAATGTAATTTAAAGTCGTATATCGGGGTTCAAACAATTGTATATGTGCCATTAAGCACCTGATTTAAATTTGCCGAATAACATAAATAATCTTTTAAGAAAAATCCCAGAAGGGTTAGACACAATTTCATTTACATTCTGCTGAGCAGAGTGTTTTACAGTAGATTACAGTGTATGCAGCAGTAACTGAGTTATTTAAGGTCTACCAGTAATTTAATGAATATTAAGAAAGAGCCCAACTCATCTCTTTGTATTTACCCATGTATGCATTTCATATGCATTTTTAGGAAGTTCAACTTAATTTATAGGTAAACATTATGTATCAGCTATGTAAACGTTACAACCTTTTATGTTCTATGGGGAAGCAGTTTTCATAAAAGCATTTTCCCCCCATTTCTTTTTTACTTTAAGCATAAAGTGCCTCAAGTGTTGTTGCACTGAAATTTAATTTAAGCTTAGCTCAAGCAGTGCCACTCATCGACAGGGGCTCAGAATAGTTAGGCTGTCATGTGATCTGTAAACTTTTGGTACACATCAATTCAGCTGAAGGGTTTTACATACTTCTAATAAAATTTCAGTCCCACTGACTCCAAATGTCAAAGCTCTTCACTCGTATTTAAGAACATCACCTAAGGCTATTGAATTCAGGGAGTGGAAGAAGTAGTCAATGCTCTTTTAAGGTATCACTGCCATCACATCCACAGTGACCTGTGTAATGAGACTTGTGAGGAATGTAAGGCTTTCCTTGACTACAGAACTTCATTGATGCTATTATTGTTTAAGGGCTTTACCAAATCAATAAATTGATTTCATTCAAATGTCACTGTTTTCCACTATCATTGTCTCTGTAGATTAGAGTAATCATTGAAAAACATTTAATGATTTTTAAAATGAAACATTTTAGAGAGAAAACTATGTTTATTAATTCAGTTATTGATTGACAGTGTAGCAATTGCCTCACTGGTAAAAGCACTGTTTAAAGCTTCATTTTCTGGCCCTACATTGTTTATGATTAGCTTTATTAAATAATTATTTATCTAACCAGCAGGTATGTAGGCTTTTCTTATATTATATGAACAAAGTTGGAGTGTTTAAGGGAATTTGAGAAGGTCGTTTTGTGTTTTTTAATGTTTAAAGTCCCAATGAAGAATGTATCAAGTAATTTAGAAAATTCCATATTAAAAGTACAACTCAACACCTAATATGTGTTTTTATTTCTTACAAACCACCATACAATTTTTCTTCCATTTTCTTAAAGTAATTTTTTGTTTGTTTCTACAGGAACAAGAAAAAATACTTCTTGCATACCTCAGCCTTGCTGGACTATGAAGCCACAAAAGAGTACAGTGTAACAATTGTGGCGGTAGATTCTGGCAGCCCCAGTTTATCCAGCAATAGCTCACTGATGGTTCGAGTGGTCGACATCAACGACCATGCTCCAACCTTTGCCCAGAGCACCGTAGAGGTCCACTTTGCTGAGAACAACTCACCTGGTGAAAGGGTGGTCACTGTTGTAGCCACAGATGCAGACAGTGGCAAGAATGCAGAAATAGCATACTCCCTGGACCCTGCGTCTAATGGACCTTTTTACATCGATGCAGACAATGGAGATATCCGTGCTACTGGGGTTCTGGATCGTGAACTGCAAGAGCGATATGAGCTAAGGGTTATTGCGAAGGATAAAGGCACGCCATCCTTGCAAGGTTCTGAAACTGTTGTTGTCCAGGTGACCGACCGCAACGACAATGCACCCAAGTTTGTTCAAGAGATCTTCACTTTCTATGTCAAGGAGAACCTCCTCGCCAACAGTCCAGTTGGGATGGTAACAGTCACGGATGCTGACGAAGGCGAGAACGCAGATTTTAGCCTGTTTGTAGAGGTAGATGAAGCGGACACAAAAACCACAGGGGAGGAGGGAGTAGATGGAGAGAAACAGCGGGAAGATGTGTTCTCAATTGAGAACAACACTGGAACAATTTTTTCTTCTGCGTCATTTGACCGTGAAAAACTTTCATCCTACACTTTCCGTGTGCGGGCTGTGGATGGAGGGGAGCCCCGCAAAACTGCCACGGCCACCGTCTCACTTTTTGTGACAGACGAAAACGACAATGCTCCTTCTATCACCTCTCCTGCCAATGAATCCTACACCCTTTTACCACCTGCAAGTAGTGCTCGCACTATTGTCAGGACCGTAACAGCCATAGACTCAGACACGGGGCCAAATGCTGATCTTCGCTATGCTCTAGTTGGGGGAAATCCCTTCAGACTGTTTGAGATTGGCCACACAAATGGAGTTATCACCCTGGCAGAGCCTCTGGAGCGGCGCCACAGAGGTCTGCATCGCCTGGTTGTTCGAGTCAATGATAGTGGCATCCCTTCACTCTGTGCCACAGCTCTGGTTCATGTCTTCATTAATGAGAGCTTGGCTAATGCCACACTAGTCGATGCACAGGTAATTTGTTTGCATCAATATCAGCTCTTAACAGATTTTATTGAGTGGCTCTTTGCATTTCTTTTATGTGATTCTAAACTTCCTTTTTTCATTTTAATTTATGAACACATCTTATGTGGAAAACGTGTTTTAATGTTTATTTTACTATAATAACTGAGTCCATATTGAATTTAAGGCCTATCATTGCTTAAAGGACTATATATGACCCAACCCCTTTTATGCCAGAGTTTTAAGCAACAATCATTTTAGCTGTTTTGGTCAAACCTTGTATGTTGAATCTCTGTAAGATTTCACAATACATGCTAGCTCTTATTACCACCCCAATTTTTATCTTAATATATGTACAACTAACAAGTTAAAGCTATTAGATGTTAGCTGTGGTGGCCATCCTGAAAAATCAATTAGTTGTATATCAAAACTAAAAGTTACCCAGTTGTAGATGTGCATCCAGTTTTTACTCTAAGTTTCAATAAAATCTGTTCAGTAGTCGTAGTCTGTAAAATATTTTGCTAACAGACAAACACATTTTTCTCCACTGCGCGCTCAGTTAGCACATGAAGTATGAATTGGGATGAATAGAACTACTGCCAGTCATTTTGACCGAGTTACAGCCATTTTTGGGCTTACTAAAGTTTCTTTGAGGTCGCGGCCATCTTAAATTGCGTTTTCTCCAAACGTTAGTCAGTTGTAGGTGTGTATCTAATGATTACTTATTGACAGTATCAATGAAATATATCCAGTGGTTTCTGAGATATTTTGCCAATAGGAAAAATGAACACATACAGACACAGGCAAAAACACAATCGCCCTTTAGAGTTCAGAGGCAGGCAATAATTAGTTAAAAATCTAATTTGCGTATGTGAACACAATTCCAAAGATCTGTATGTAATTCAAAATAAACAGACACGATACAATAAAAGTTGTATTAAAGTTTTATGGCAACTATAAATCCAAATTTTACTGATCTGTGCAGGCCTGCTGTTCAACACTCATGTTAACCAGCAGTGATGGCTCTGTCCACTTATATTTGTAGTATTTGCACAATAAATACACATCATAGTTTAGGAGGGGGATAATGATTGTTGCAGTTTAACAACAAACAGGAATAACTTGATTTTCACTGATCAAACGAGATAGCTGCAGCATTTTTGCACCATTTTTGCAGCATTCAGACTGTTGACGCTCCAGTCTCGTAATTGTATTGTTCAAGATAGAACACACTGTTTCTGTTGGCAATTTCCTTTGCAGCTTAGATAGTTCTGCAGCGGGTTCTTTGTCCAGCATGCATTGTTGTAATGGCTGTGTGGTTAAAATACCTGTTATTACTGAAGTGGTTTTTCTTTTATGGTACATTGAGCGCAGAGCTGAGAGGTTTAGGTGTGTTTGTGTGTATATGAGTGTGTGTGTGTGTCAAAGAGAGAGAGAGAGAGAGATAACATTAGGGTTACTTTTTTGGGGGGGTGGGGGTGGGGGGGTGGGGGGGGAGATGAAAGATGAGCACGTCCCCGTTATGGACTTGTAATATTGAGCAGGTTGAAGTATGTATGAACAGTTGTAAGACGGGTGTCCCTTAGCTGTATTCTTGCATTTACATTCCAAAGTCACATTAGATTTAGATGTTTGCACTTTGTCACAGGGAGCTGAACAGAGTTAGGCAGTATTTAGTGAAAGCCACTCAAAACCACTCTGAACTCTAAATAAATCATTTTTACAAGTTGATATAAAGCAAATGTGAAAGATATTTGCGGCTAATCCTAAATGAATCTGTGCGGTCTCCTTGAACGGAGGGCTTCACAGCAGATTTAAAGTTGGCTTGAAAGAGGCACGCTGTGTGCAGAGGTAACTGACGAGACTCAGAGACATTACCGAGATACTGAAATTAACTAGAACATTATGTGTTCAAATTTAGCTTATGCTCTGCCCATTGAAATCTTTCTTTCCTCTCTGCTGTAGCAATAATTGAATGTGCTTCCCATAATGCTTTAAAATGTTCCATTAAGCTATAAATGATGGCAGGTAATAATTACTAAAACTTAATCTCTGGTGTGAAAAAGGTAATTTGTATCGACTGATAATTAAATCCCCTCAATGGCCTTGTAGTACCATTGTTTGTTCTGACACAAACAGCTTGTTGTTTCAACCCACACCTGAAACTTGGAACACATTTTCCTAGTTTGAGCATATTCCCATGATTTTTCTGAGTTTAAAAAAAGGTCTTAAAGAGTCAAGTCTGTGCATGTAACGTGAAGCAGAACGTTTAACCAAAAGTAGCTTTGGGATATTTGAAAGGAGCGGAGCTTTTAGACAAAAACAAATCACACAATCTTAGAAAATGTGTCAAAGCAACGATGGCTTTTGTAAATTGTGCTGTGGACTATTTTATTTTAGAGTACACATGACTTTTTTTTTGTTTCATTAGAAAAATCATTTTTATATTATAAATGATACATAATCCTAGTTGCTTTTGTTTGGACTTTAAATAACAATCATCCCATGGCTGATTGAGAATCTTCACCAGTATATGGCACAGAACCCTAGCAGTGGGGATCAAACCCATTTTTTAATGTACAAACTAAAAATACACCAATTAACTGGCTAGTAAATGGTCAGTACAAAAAGTAATATTTATTTAATCAGTCAGTGAACACACAATAACTTAGTGCCTAACTCATGCGCAATTTGTGAACAGCTGCTATTACCAGATGTGTTTGTTTACCTATGATCAGCTGACTGAAAATAGGTCAACAATGGCGATGTTATTGGGAGAGTTGTTTGGGATGGAGAAGTCTGACATATTGATACAAAATTACAATGAGTGAGGTATCCAGACAAAATGATGTGTTACGTTGAACCAATAAATGGACTGGTGTAAAGGAAGTTTGAATGACATCTTAAAGGCATCGCACCGCCCTGCTTAATCCCCGACTTTCTTTAGTGAAAGTGATGGACGCATTCATTTTTCTTTCATGTGTAGCTGCAGATTCACTCCTATATTTCAACCTGAACATCTCAGAGAGTCTTGGCTTGTCTAATTCCATCATATTTGATCACGTACAGACTACAGCCAACCTAATGTATGTCAGTCACATGACTGGAGCTTTTACTGGGCTTCGACAAATTTAACAGCGTGTATTCATCCATCCATTATCTTTACCCACTTCTTTATTTTTGGGTCGTGGAGGTCATTGGTGCCTATATCCAGCAGTCACTGTGCAAGAGACGGGGGACACCCTGGACAGGTCTCCAGTCCATCACAGCGACACATGGAGACAAACAACCTTTCACTCTCTCATTCACACCTAGGGACAATTTAGAGTCACCAATCAGCCTAACATGCATGTTTTTGGTCTGTGGGCGGAAATCAGAGAACCTTAGTTCAGGACAGCTTCTCATTTTATACTTTGCAATAAGTAACTTGAAGTTTTTGTAGTTGTTGCTTTTTCTTATTTTTACTGTAAATGGATTTTTATGAGCACAGGCAAAATTTCAGTTCAACCAGAATTTAGGGGAGAAAGAAATTTTTATTTTGATTATTATAGTTTTTTTTTATTTTTACAAAATTCCATTTGACTGAAATCTGAATTAATCGGTCAAATCTTTACAAAAATCTAACTTTCAAACCAGAACTTGAAGATGAAAACATTTGAGTTTTGTTTTAAACCCACGTTAAAGTTCGGTTGTAAATTTGGGGGTGGGGGCTGACTCACTTCTGACTAAGGAACTACTGTTTTTTATCAGCAATACTTTTGCTTCATTCTTCATCCGTGGAGGTTCACTCCACAATGACTAAGATTATGATCTCGAAGAACTCCCCCAACAACGCTCCTTCGCTCCTTGTAATCTATACAGCAAAACACGTGTGCTAACTTTTCCTGCTTTTTGTGTCAGTGTAACTTTTGAAGACAGTCACACAGAAATGATGTCAAACCCTGCTTTGAGGGCCCTGTTTGTAATATGCATCCTTGTTTTAAATGACTTCTAAAGCTCAATGCTACCTTCGAGCCACAGAAAACAGGTTCTGTGTAATCTCATCTGAGAGCTGTGACATTATTCCATGTCAAAATAACTTTTTGAACAAAGGCAAACTGCTCAGCGCAAATCAAAGAGGTAGGATTGTACCGGTAGCTGGTGAGGAGAACACTTCATGTGTGACACAGAAAAATGCTGAAAGGAAAATCAAGGAGGTGAGGATTAGAAGAGAACCCTTAGTAAGAGGTAGAATTATCTGCAGTGAGCCTAAATGACCAAGACTATTAAATCAAACAATAGGGTGTAATACGTCTAAGCTGCTTTGAAAGCCGTCATTGAATACAACATGCACAGTTCAGCTTGATTGTAAGTAGGAACTTGGTGGCGTAATTGAGTAGAAGTCATTTAAAAGAGAATACCTCCATCTCGTAATGAAGTCAAACTGGGTGGTGGATAGATGCCAGATGCAATTAAGGAATGAAAGTGCCTGCTACTGCTGCAGCACCGCAGCAGAAAATTACTCCGGTCCTTTCAATCCAATAGCACTGGGTGAGCCGCATGTTTGGTAATTATCTGTAATATTATGCTGCAGGGTTTGAGCTCGAGAAAGAGGAAATTGACATTGTAGACGTCGTGTGTCATTGTTGTCATTTGGTGCTCTTTGAGGAGCTCTGTATATCAGAAGTTGTGCATTGTGAAGCTAAGACTTTTAGTGAGAATGATTTTAACCTTTCAAATTAGAATTTCTATCTTAAGATCAGTGCTTTCACTTGCTTTTATAAAATCAATAGTTCAGTTTTTACTTGAATTGGGGTTCTGTGGAAATAAAAACTAGAGTTTATTCTTGACTACGCCAAACGGATAGACGAGCAAGACAAAAACCAGCATGGATTTCTGCCATCAAAAACAGCACCAATCTCAAAGATTTTATAGCAGTTCATCTATTTTGTTTATTTGCTTTTTCATGCTGGGTTTTGGGGGAGCTGCTGATGCATACCAACTATATATTTTTCATGTTTGTATCACCGTAAAGTTTACATTGCATGGATATTCTGTCAAGGATATCATAATATTCCTGCAAAAAGCCTCAAAAAGTGGCACAGCTATCTTCTGCTACCACAATTTACACAAGAAAAACAACTGAACCCAATGTAAATTGTAGGCCAACCATTTTTTGAAGACTTACTTTCTTTCAACTATTACATATCAAATGTTAACCTAGTTTTTACAAAGTTCACTGAGGTATAGCCATCTTTATGTAGGCTAATGTTGATTAGCTGTGGCAGCTATTTTGAAACTCCAAAAGTTAACGAGTTGTAGATGAACAGCCAAGAATTACTTTTTGAGAGTTCATTGAAATTTGAATGAAATTTGCGGTCCATGAGATACTTAGCAAACAGACAAGCAGGGTCAATTGCAACAGTTAGCGTCAAAATTTGAGCAAAAATGCCATGCAATATATTTTAGGCAATCAGTTTGTGCTCAGAGAATAAGTTGCGGGGTCAGTCTCATCTCATACCAGATCCAATCTTAGCATAGTATCATTTGAACTGACTAAGCTAAAGACATTTTTGTGTTTGCTAAGATTGCTGTGCTGTGGTGGACATCCTGAATCGGGTTGACTCTAAACGTTTATTAGTTTTATATGTGAACATAATGATTACCTTGGGAACATTTTGTAAGAATTCATTCAGTTGTTCATGAGATATTTTGCTGAATTTGCCCTTTACCTTCACCTCTGACAGGCGCTCTCAACTATGTCACAAAAAAATGGTGGTAATGCAAAGGATCATAAAATAGAGTTCACATAAATAATACAATTTGGGGGATAGGAGTTGTTTTTTGTTTTTTTTAACTGATGCTGCACTCAGACCAGCCACTAGCTCATAAATCTGGCCAAAATTAAACTCTGTTAAACTTTTATTTTTGTTGTTTTCATAGAGTCATAAATGGATTGAGCTGCATTAAAAATGTGAGCTAGGTTCAGGAGTGAAGTCATGGGAGAACTCTTTGTTTTGATCATGTAACGAGCATCTGCAGTGACATGTTAATAAGCTAATCCTTGAAGATTGAAGCAGATAGAGTGCCATGCTAAGTCCTGCGAGAAAGCACACGCAGCAGAACTAAAGAATCTGCTGGGATTTGGAGATGCAGGGGTATGCAGTACTTGGAAGGGGGAGATGCTTATAGCATTGCACACTTGGGGTTTCCTGTGTGTGCTTGTGCACATAAAGCACGTCTCAACTCAGCCGACTACACACGGGTTGAAGCTTGTGTGGAGCTCTCTCCTTATCACATGCTCGTAAATCAGAGCTGACTCACAACCACAGACCCTCCAACACTTTTCTGTGTCACATATGCCTGAACAGTCAACTCGCCCAGCGCTGTCATAAAGCATGTGTACATGTGACTCGTTGATGCTATTTTCTTCTTTGTTTTTGCACTAACACACAACACAGAAGCCACTGCGGGGAAGCGCCACGCCAAGGATGCCCGGCATCTTTGAGTGGAAAAGCAATACTGCAGGCAAAGAGAAGAGCAATGAGGCTGATGAGAGAGAGCAGAGCCTGCAGAAAGAGGCCCTCTGCAGTGGAAGTAAAACAATGGAATTAAACCAACATGACTCACTAGCAATGAAACTTAAATCTCACGATAGATGTGGATGAAACAATGAAATATAACACAATGTCACTTTGAGCTCCAGGGAAACAAGCAGAGAGAGTGACTACTATAGATATTGTATATATGAGCAAATCTAATATGTCTTGGAAAGCATAACAAACAAGTCCCATAGTTTAGTTTGCTGTAACACCAACGCTGTAGCTTGCACGGTAGTTAATTTTCCTTGGCTACTTCAAAGCACAGGGGCTCAATCTCTCCCCTGCATATTCCTGCAAACCTTATTACCAGCCGCTCTTATTGGAGCGAGGATTAGAAGAGCCTGTCATTTCTAGCCCTGCCAGGCCAAAGACTTTGTCATGTGAGCTCAGAGACAAGGTTCAGACAGTGAAATGAGTTGTCTCCCTAACAGACAGCTTACACTCGGTGTGGACCTGCGTACGCGCATGCATATGCATCAGCGCGCCTGTCTGCATTTGTGTTCAGTCTGCATAATGATTCTCTCAAACTAAGTTACCAGTGTGGCTCTGCTGAACAGAACTTTACAGCCTCGTTGTCTCCTGTTCGGAAACTCGCTGTAACACGTAATGGCTGCGTTTGCTTTCCAACCTAATCCACTTTTTCTTATAATGATCCTGTTATCGGAGTACTAGCTCCATTCGTTGCATGTGCAAATGAATGTCCTTATGTTTTTTTAATCTAACATAATTTTTCTAAAGCAAAAACACAAAAGCACTTTTTAAGTAAAGATATTAAAATGGATTTGCACGGATTTGCACCGCAACAAAAAGCTATTAGCTTAACGGAACAAAATCAGAACCTTAAAGAGGCCAAAAGAAATGGCTTTGAAAATGAGCTCACATGTTTTTAGTACCCTCCCTTTTACACATTCAATTCTCTAAGCAGGAATTGCAATAGCAAATCCTTGACAAATCCACGCCTACACTATCATTTACAATAGGGATATTGTTTATTGATGAGACAGTAGATGTGTTTCTGCCTAAAGATGTAGTCATAGTCTCTCTCGGCTTGATTTTTCCACATTTATTTATTGTTTGTTTTATACTATGTAAGTTCTAACTGCTCTTGACCTCCATGTCTAAAATGACTTTTTATTCTTTGGTCAGCTCTAAGCGGTATAATCCAAGATAACTCTCGTACCACTGCAGATGATTTGAGCTCATAAGTGAAAAATTTTTGGCTCAGCCTGAAATGCTGCAACTGGGAAGCAAGAGCTATTATATATTAAGCGACACTCTGTGTGTCTAGGAGTAACAGTGCCGCTCCCACACTAAACAGAATGATAAGTATAATTAAGATGAAGATGCTGTTTGAGGTTTCCTGATGGCTTGCACCAACTGTGTCATCTCCTACAGACACCGTTCTCAATATTTTGCTCGTAGAAAGTTTCCATTTTACTTCTGTTTGTTATTTCTCTTCGGAAGGCTTTTATGTCTGATTTTTCTCCACTCTACCTTCTGTTCCAGGTGGCCCGAAGCCTGATGGCACCACTGTCGCTGGACATTGCCGGGGATCCAGACAGTGAGCGAGCCCTGGGAAAACAGCGTCTCAGTGTTGCCATCGGTGTCCTGGCAGGTGCCGCAGCCGTCATTCTGGTTATTCTTCTGGTGGTCACGGCTCGACAGTGCGGCACTCAGGGGAAGAACGGTTACGAAGCTGGTAAGAAAGAGCCAGAGGAAGACTTCTTCAGTCCCTCAGGAGCTCAGCCCCAGGCCAGTCGAGGTGGGGGATCAGACCGTGGACGTAAACCTCGACGGGACAAACGCACCGGAGGCGGAGGTACCATCGGAGGAGGAGGGAAGTCGGACAGATCTCTTTACAGTGGCATTGTCACAGTCAACGGCCTGCGTCGCCATGGCAATGACGATGATGAAGAGGAACTGAGCAGCGCTAGTGAGCGCCTGGCAGCCCGCTACTGTGCTGTGGACGGTGACCCCAGCAGCCCGCGGATGGGTGGCGGCAGGAGACACCAGTCGAGCCCCGATCTGGCCAGGCACTACAAATCCAGCTCACCCCTCCCTGCAGTAAATCTACAGCCACACTCACCCCCGGCAGAGGGAAAGAAGCACCAGGCAGTCCAGGAGCTGCCTCCCTCCAACACATTTGTGGGTAGCAGTGGGTGTGTAGGGAGTGCCGGCTCCAGCAGCAGCAGCACAGGGGGCAGTGGCAACGCAGATGCCATGTCCCTGGGCTCTGACCAGTGCTCAGATTATAGCTGCCAGGCGGGGAACAAATACAGCAAACAGGTAGGAGCTCAATTTGTTTCTGGCTTTTTAGCCACTATGTGGCTCCATCATGGACTCACCCTCCTCTACTTTGCTGAAATATGTCCTGCACACCTTGCTGTTAGCATCTGCAAACCATTTTATCTCCATAAAATAGCTGTCAGGGTGTGTGTGCCTGCAGGTGTCACCATCCTAAACTAGATTGCTGCCAGATCTACTGCAAGACATAGTCGAGCTCATACTGTCGCCAAAAGATAGTCGAATGTGGATTTTTGCATACGTTCATGATTGTGTGAGACCATATGCAAGAGAGGACCCCCGATGAGTTCAGTTAAAGCAAAGATGTGGAGGGGGTGGGCAAACACATTTCTTCCAACAGGGTAATTGGTCATTTCTTCTTTGGTTCTGCCTTTCTCAAGCTGTTATCTGTCTTCTAATTAGATATTATATGTATTTACTCCATAAACAAAGTCAGCTGCATAGATAATGTAAGCTCTGACTTCGGCGTTTCATCAGGAGGCTGCAGTTCAACGCTGACAAATAAACGCTGCATAGGGACGGTCACTCAGTCCGGTACCCACTCACACACTCACAATAATGCATAGACGCAGGCCCCATCTATCATCGTAGACAAACTGACACAGCAGAGGGTCTCTCTGCTGTCCACGGGGAGTCTTCCCAAGAGCAGAATTTGAGTGACAGCCAACCCTGCTTAAAGGGGCGGTGTCTCATTTCCTTGACAGACAGCTCTACAGTTATCCAGCTTGTGGTGAAAAAAATGCTGATGTGGTCATTAAAAGAGAAGGAGAAGAGCTTCTTAAGCTAATCAATTCATACATGGGCACTCTGATCCTGCTCAACACACACACAGACACACGCAGGAGCGCGTGCACACATATGCATACGCACACAAAACTCCGGAGGTTAATCCATTACGGAGTCGATCCTCTTAATCTGCCATTCCCTGGGAAAGAAACTGCTTACTGGGAGAGTTTGGCGTTCATGCTTACGTGCTCTCAAAACATGCCAGCACACATAGGGAGTCATGCAGACACACAAACTGACAGCTTAATGAATTATTGATCACGTGGGGTAATTAACTACCCCCCCCCCCCACACACACACACACACACACATCCAAGAGTCATGGTGTGTTTGTCTGGGTTTTGGTATGCTCATGACTGCGCTCACTTAAATGTCAGAATTTGTTAATTCGAATCGTTTGGCATCACAGGCAGGTTTGAGTTGGTGGGCTCCCATCACTGAGCTTGAGGGACTGCTTATTTTACGAAGGCATATTCATTTTCTACATGAGTGCGGGTGAGAGATAGGACTCGGGGAGTGAAAGGTGGCGTGCGTGTGCCAAATGAGGGAAACGGGACGCCAGCAGAAATTGGAGTAGCATTAGATCAGGAGTGGGAGAGATTTATGGAAGTTTCGGAGGAGAAGAAAGATTGAGTCAACAAGACGAGGGGAGGAGGGGTGGAGGACTTGTGGATTTCAAAGCTACTTTACTGGGTCAGTGAAAACATTAAAAACTCTTCAACGGAAATCTACACATCATCTCAGATTATTCTAAAGAGGGGAATGAAAAAATGAATTCAAAACAGGAAAGTCATGAAAACTAAAGTTAAAGATAGCCTCATGAAGCATCAAGTACTTCTGTTTTTAAAAAATCTAAACTGTTCATTGAGGAGGAGAGACAAGGGATGGAAAAAGATGTGTGAGAATGAATACATTTATAAATGAACAAGAGAAATGGGTGGAATGGTGGATTGAAAAGCACAAAAATGTAATTGAAATGAGTAATCTTTATCTTTTTAGTTAATGCTATTCATTTAGTGTCACATAAACCACTTAACACCTTCAGCTTTTTCCATCTCATAAAAGATGAATTTTTGATATCCATATAAATTTTATCATACTGTGCCAGTTTATGAAGATCAGTTTGCAGTTAATTAAATTATTTCCTGTTAGCATATTTTAAACAAAAAAAAGAGAGCACTTGTAAGGCAACAATCATTTAAGTTTAAGGACTCCATCAACCTTTACATCAAAATGTTAAACAATTATCCCTGCTTAATTTATGCTCCACTGGACAATTGACATTGCTCTTTAAAAATGTTTTACTATTACAAATGCATATCATTAAATTAGTACATTTTTAAATTAAAAATGTTTTTTAATCAAAATATGCCTTAAATTAGCCTAAGCATTATATGCCAAGTAAATATTTTACCATTTAAGAATAAGCGATGTGTGTGCAACAATCCTAACTTATACTTGTGAATTTTTTTAACACAAAACTACTCAATCTGATTCACCCCTTTCCAAAACTGGCTCATACATGACAAACACCCTTAGTACTCTACTATTTAGGACTTTATCATTTCAATTGATCTACAACCTAAAAAGAGATCAAAATTGACAAAAATCACACAAAGGAATCTTAAAAATGTTAAAATGGCTTGAAACAGTCGAGGTGAAAACAAATTCATCCCCAGCTTTGAAAGAACAGCGCACATTGTTTAAGTGTGGTCCTATAGAAAGGTAATTTAAAAAATTGGATGTCCTCAATTTGTAAAAATAGAGTTTATTACTGACAGGATGGACACGATAACAGCTAGTTTGAGTAAGATGTCATCTTAAAACAACTCCTGCCTCGAAAAAAATTCATAGCGGTTAATGTAAGCACCATTCTGTAAAGCCCATAAATAATATGATATTCCTACCCCAGGCTGCACCAGAAGTGGTAAAGCTGCTTCAATATTTGCACAAACAAACAATCATAGAATCCAATGTTAATAACTGTAAATTGTGAAACTGACGCTGACGTAAATGTTTACAAAATAGCATTTAATAGCCATTTTTATTGGTTGGCAGCACTCCAATTTGGTCGTGTTTCTATAAGCTGTTAGCTTGTCAGTTATGCCTTAATTCAACCTAAATTCCCTAAACGGGGGTTCATCAAAGAGCTATCTACAACAGGTAAGATACTAAATATGTTTAATCTTTCCACATAACCCCACTTTACAAGATATGAACTATTGCTTTTAGTTCTCCACTGCAGAAAAAAAAACATCTTTCCAGTCAGTAATAGAAACAGAAAGTCAAGCTAAGCTCTAATGGAGAAAGTGTAAGGAGGAAGGTTAGAGCACATATGTCCCTGAGGGGAGGGGCCGGGAAACTGGACAAGATGGAGAGAGGTCTGTTTTGGGTGACAGCCAGACAGTGAGAGCGGACTGCTGAGATGTGGGTCATCAGGATACCCGTTGGCATCAGGACACATTAACGATCACAGCAGTCACATGGCACTGCAGTCAATATGGCGAAAGTGGCCTGGTTCTACCCTCTAAGTACTGCTGCACTCACACAAAACTGCTTCCCTGACTGCTGCCCTCAATCAAACACAGCAAAGGTCATTGATTTATGCTCCACTTTCTGCTTCTTTCCATTTTCTTTTCCTTGCTGTTATTGCATGGTGTAATCTTACTGACCTCTTTGCCCGTACATTTTTATAACCTCTCCTTTTTGACTCTCGCACTTTGCCCCTCTCTGTCAGTCTCCCGCGCTCTGTACCATATGCCTGCCCATGCATCTGAACACCCCGCCACTGCTCTCTTTGCATCTTCCCTGCGTCACATTGACCTCTGAGAAAGAACCAACTCAGCGATTTCACTAGTGCCACTTCTTTCACTGTAGTGAGCACTTTCTCCCGACCCAGTAGGTGTGTGTGGGCGGGCGGGTTGCAGCACAGTGCCACAAAGGCTGAATCGAACCAAACGCACACCCTCTTCCACGCACACACTCAAAAAACGTTAAGTCCAAGTCCAATCAATGCCCCTGTTAACAAGGCCAAGACTGCAGTGGAAACAGGTGGGTTGACGGAGCAGATTTTTGCGCATTGCACAGTTCTGCAACTCCTTGTGAAGGTCACCCTTAGACTCTGTTGGCTTCGGGGATGAGTTTGTGGTAAATAGGACTCATCCGGACAGACGTGTTCATCTAATTGGACTGTATGGAGGAGCGTGGCTGGAGAGATTAGGTCTACTGGATTATAAAATTGAAAAGCAGCTTTTCATTTCTGCAAAATCCCCTCAGGATTAAATATGATGAGCGTCTGTCACAGGCTCGCAATCACCCCTCGACGCACTTAGGCACGCCGGATGAACGCATCCACAAACGCAGGCTTCCTGTGATCACATGCGGCGTGCGTTTGCCTGATAGAGTTGAAGGCACTGTCAACCAGAAACAAACAGGCACAGTCCCAACTCCCCCCGCACCCACCCCCTTCTCTCTTTACTCACTTTCCACAAGCCTGTTGTAACCGACCCATAACCCCAGTCATGATGATACCCACTCACTGATGTGTTTATTAAAGCTGCACTGAGTTCAGGCCAAGCAGCCAACCATATGCTCAAGAGGCGAGTGTGTGAGGAGGTAAAGAGGTGGGGGTAAGCGGGAGGTGAGAAGGACAAGGTAACCAAAGCGGGGATCACCCATTGAGCCAGACTGAAAACTGATCTACTGACCCTGCAACGAAGAGCAAGGGGAGGGGACGTCAGTGGACATCAGAGAGGGAACATGAGCCTCAGAAAATGAAGCCAGACAACATATGAGAGGTATATGCAATGATAGAAAATGAAGAAATTGCAGGAAAAAAATGGCAGATGTGGGTTTCTGTTAGATACTCGGTGGTGGAGGTGAAGCACATGGCTTACCCTGTAAACATTGATTTTCCACTCGACCAAGTTCATATGAACATATTGCTCAGAGTTTAGAGGGGTTTTCTTTCTTTTGTACTTCAGTTCCATTGGTTCAGAACAAAAAATATGATCACTTTGAGGTTTGGGCTTACTGAAACCACTTGAATCGACTGTTTATTAGCGGTTTTGTTCACTCAGCGGTGCCATATGGACCTGCAGCAGAAACATTAATTATTTATTTAGTTATCTGACCAGAAAGTTGCACTACATTTTTAATTTGTAATCCTGCTGTAGTATTAGATGTCCTAATGGACT